ATTCACATGCACTTGTGCACTCACCTAAATTTATGCAACTTAATTATGATGACATAAACATATATAATATTTAAAAAAAATTAAAGCATTTGAAGTAGATAAATTTTTTAAATTTAGGGATGTAGAAATCCTAGACTCAGACGAGGAACTCACACTCGCAGGTGAAGTAGTCCTCAAAATCATGGGAAGAAAATAAATTTATCGTATTGATGCTGAACATTGTATTCTCGGAAACGATCTGAGATTCGGTAAGTGGCTTAGTGAATGCTCTCTAAGGCTTTTATGTAAGAAAGGTGGGGGGGGAGGGGGGGGATCTCATTGTGCTTCATTTCCCCATCCATGCTTTCTGTTGGAAAAGAACCAACAAAAGTTCTCTATCCTTCTTCACTACTCCTTTCATCTTGAACCTCCGACGGACTCTCCATGTATGCGTTCTTTCTCTCCTCCCCTCATCCATACTCGGGCATTGCTGTCAAGTGAATGTGCTTTCCAATAGATAGACTATAAAAGGTATGTTGGAGAGAAGAATAGGAATACGAGTTGTTCCCGAGTTAAAGTAACTGCAATGGCTCTTTCCTGCCTTTCATCGATAGGTGAGTTTTTTTGAAACCCTTTTCTGGCCTTTTTCAACTTCCAGCAAGATCCTTTATTGAGTATTTTTGAAACTTTTATCTGGCCTTCAACTTCTAGTGAGATCCTTAAGACCTCGGATCTGCGCATCTAATTATTTCCAACTTCTAACTGGTTCCTACTTTATATCTACAACCTCAACAAGAGTAAGAAAGAGGTGTATGGGTGTCAAATAAAAAAAGGCTCGTGCTAGGCTCTTACCTATTTAGGCTGAGCCATCTCTTTCTAGGTAGGACCGATAGAAAGAAAGAACGAGGTACATGGTACTTCTCGACCCTATCTCCGAGGAATAGTTGAACAAGCAACTCATGAATGCTATTGCGTTGGATTAGTCAATAACTGTAATGCGTTTGATCTTTTTTTGAGCAAGAATCACAGACTTACCTTATCTTCGCCATGATATGGACTCCAAGTTCGTATAGCAGAGCACAAGGAGATTTATCATCAATATGATGATGGGCATGGAAACCAGAAACACGATTGGGGTCTTCGTGGTTGGCAATGTACCTTCGGCACTTACATTAGGCAGCAAGGTGATAGGAAAAAAATTCTAGCACGTGGATGAGTAAAAAATGAGAATTTTCAAAATGTCCGGCTACTCTCTGATTCTGGTGCCTTATGTCTTCCCATTTTTGGATTTGGTTCCGATGATCTCAATCTCACTTGATCTATAGGCTTTGCCTTCAACCACTCGTATTTTGTGTTGGCATGTGGAACTCATACAAGAGTTGGGGTTACTCTAGTGTTATGAGTTTACTCTTGTAATGGAACACCTATGTACTTTCTTACGCTTTTGTACTTCGTAAATTAAATTGATATTCAAGGTTTAGTTGGATTTTGAGCTCAGTATGTATAGCAATTTATTATGCTTTCGATTACAACCTAGCCGTTGCACATTATTTTGCACAAGTTGAAGTTCTTTTCCTTCATAATGCAGAGATGCCAGGCTGCTTGAAGTTCGACTTGGAATCCTCACCGCATGAATTATATGATCACCAACCCTTGCAATTAAATGTAGATGATTACCAGCGTGTATGTCAAATTCCAAAGAAGAAGGTATCCTTAAATTTTCTGCAATTTAAATTCATTTATATGAGGGTAATGTTCCTTCGCCTAGATTTGCTAAGCTCTTCTCTTTCATGGTGATAGGGTGCAAACTTCAGGGATCTGCCTGGGGTACGAGTTCGTCCAGACAACAAAGTTGAATGGGATCCAGATGTAGAAAGAGTAAAGTTGGCTTCAGGGAAGCCTTTGGTATGAGGACATGTTCTGCAGTTCTATTACCTTATTCTTTTGTATGAAATACGGCTCTAAAGTGACAAGGATTCAACACCTATCAGACTACAGTTTTATTTTTTTTAAAAATTCTCACTCCCAGCGTTTCCACGTGTTTGCTGTGATGAAAAGTTATGCATCAGCGTTTCATAGATTCTTTATCCATTCATAAACCCATTTTGTCTTAAAATTGACAGGTTCCTGATTATGCAATGAGTTTCATGGGTGGTAGTTCAATCAAGTAAATCAACTTTTGCATTTGAGAGACTAATATTGTTGGTTTTCAGTTGATCATTGTTTACTAAACTGTGTGAATTCTTGTAGACCATTTGGTCGGCTTTGGTGGGACGAGACCGTTCCTACTGTCGTGACACGGGCAGAACCTCATAACCAGGTAGTTTTATAGTTGTGCTCCAAAGTTAATGCATGTATGCAGTACAACTATTGATAAATTAGATGTTTTATAGTATCGTAATCTTACTCCTCTACACTTCTCAGATTATATTACATCCAACTCAAGATAGAGTTCTTACTATCCGTGAAAATGCCCGACTCCAGGGCTTTCCAGATTATTATAAACTTGTTGGCCCTATAAAAGAAAGGTAACTTGTTGACTATATCCCAGTCCCCTTGTTGGATTTTCTGGGATTGAATCTCTATTGAGCAAGTGCTACAGAAATTGAAAGTTAATGCTAACTGACCTTTTTATTTCTCTCTTAAATATATGTGTACATTAGATATATTCAAGTTGGAAATGCAGTTGCTGTGCCAGTTGCCCGTGCATTAGGTCATTCATTGGCTTTGGCATTAAAAGGGTTCTCAGGAAATGAACCCTTATTTACTCTGCCAAAGGAATTTCCAAGAAATTCAGACGTTCCTGCCCCAGAAATTTTATAGCCTAGGTTCATTTTATGACTTAATATTTATGGATCCCATTATTTTGGTAATTAAGTTACTGAGTTATAAATTCTGTTTCGGGGACTATTATTAGTAGACGTATACGACTCTCTGCATTTGTGCTATAATGTAAACTTCTATTATTTCAAATTCAGCATTTTAAATACAAGTGTAATTTATCTTTCTGTGGTCTAATTTTTGTTTACCTTTGATTTCAATAAGCGTAGTTAAAAAGAATTTTTGCCATCTATATTGATTTCTTTAAAGACTAGTTAGATGCATATGAAGCAATTTTTATATCCAATTAGGGCTGGACAAGAATTCTTGAATTGAATCAGTCAAACTAGATCCGAATTGAACGATTTTTCTTAAGTTGAATATTTAAATAGGTATTTGAATCCATATTTAAATAGGTATTTGGTTCTTCGAGTCTTTTTGGTCAAGAATATAAAATCGAATTTAAAGTTTTTTATTTTATCTTAAATAAGCTAAATTATCTTATGTTTTTCTAAATAAATTTGTTAACAAATTAATTTAAGTCAAATCCAAAATATTATTTTTTTTT